GCGCTGCTTGTGCACCAGTTGAACAAGGGGTTGCTGTTGTCCTCCTCCTGGTCCCCCGCTCTATAAATACCCCCTATAGTGGTTTGTCTGCCACCAAGGCTGCAATTTCTCCAGCCATTAGTAATGTAATGACAGTGGGCATGTCAGCGATGAGACAGCTGCTGCAGCTGTGCGCGCATGAGGCCAGTACCCGCATCTCTGATACAGATACAACCAGAAAGCTGTGGCGTGGCCTAGTGATTAAAGATCCAGTCATGGAAAACCAGGAAATATCAGGGGATTTTAAATGGTTTTCTATAGGGATGCACCGAAATGAAAATTCTTGGCCGAAGCCGAAGAAAATGAAACACTGGGCCGAAGGCCGAATACCGAACACGGTTGTTAACGTTTTTTTCCCCATTTTGCCAATTTTTTCACCATTGCATAAATTAAATAGCCAAAATGTGCTTTTTACTGTTTTGTCTTGCTTTTCAAAGAAAAAAATCATTTACAAAACAACAATTTAAAAATATGTACTTAACACTGAAAATCTTTTAGCATTCTAGCAGACATTATACCAATAAAACACAACTTAACTTAAAATTAATAAGTTAGTAAAATAATATTTTTTGGCCATTTTTTAGACTTCCTTCTTGAATCAGGCATGTATTTGTAAATGTTTTAATAGCTGTTGTAATTATTATTTTCATTATTTTTTTTTTTTTTTTTATTTTACAGAGCAACAGTAAAATTACAATAATAACATTTATTGACAAATGATTCAAATGATTAATTTGGGAAGACGTTTGTTGCACGTATCGCATTGTCACATGCCTTGTAAAAATTCATAAAAATGTTACTGAGCAGCTGACGAGTAACACGGTTTCAGCACAGATTTCCCTCGCGCTTTGGACTTTGAACCCTACCGCCGCGAGCTCGTGCAGCACTGTTTGAACACATGCAATTCCTGCGTGTCTTAGAAAACATAACATTCTGCAGTTTATTTAATTGTTTGAGGGCATTTCGCGATTTTAATCATCATACAGTAACCAGCAACAACCACCCTTCCTCTTCTCATCGAAGACATGCGCTGCAGTACTAAACAGTCTCTCGCTGTCGGTGCTTGTAATGATTTTTGCGTCTTTCTCGGAAAAGCTGTTTCCACACTGCCGTCATGTTTGCTGCATTAGCGCGCGCCTCTATTTGATTGTGTCACGTCATTGTTCGGTACAATTTATTCAGTCTTTTCGCTTATTCGGTTGCCGAACATTCGGTGCATCCCTAGTTTTCTATCCTTGAATTTTCTATAGTGCTGAATTTTTTTATAGTTACACTCTTCTCTGATATACAATTTCATTCTAAGGCCTTTTGAAAGAAGGCTCTTCTGCTCTCAAAGGCTGCTTTTATTTCTTGCAAAAATACTGTAAAAACAGTAATTTTGTGAAATATTAATATAACGGGTTATTTTTAAATATATTTTTAAATGTAATTTATTCCTGTGATCAAAGCCAGTCTTCAGTGTCACATGATCCTTCAGAAATCATTCTTAAGCCTCGTACACACCGGGACGATTATCGCGCACGCTTATCGCCGACGTTTTTCGACGCGTCTTTTGCGTTCAAACCCAAGCGATTTTCGCAGGTGATGAGCCGAGCGAACGTGCCAATTCACTCCCTGACATTAGATGGCGCTTAATGAAAAACAGAAATACCCCGGTACACATCGAATCCTATTTGATCTGCAATTCCTCTCCATAACAACTCCCTCTTATCGAGATTTTTGTAGTCGCTGTCGCGTTTGTCATAAAGCCCTTTGTGTTCAGACACCAATGAGACCAGCAGCTCTACATTCATCTTGCCTCGATGCATCTTCTTGATCTACTTACTTCCTCTTTGTCGTTAGGTATCAATGTGTGCTCGGCAAGACCGTTTTGTGCTTGAGCGCCACCAAGTCGTGTTTTACTGTAACTTCAGCAGCTCCAGGCACGTAACAAAAACGTCGACGATAAACAAAACGGTGTGAACAAGCCTTAACATGATGATTTGCTGCTCAAGAAACATTTCTCATTATGAATGTTGTGTTGTTTGTGAAAACTGATTCATTGTCATAGAAGCTTTTGTAACTCGTTTCCAGAAACATATTTCTGTCCATTAAAGCATTAAAAACAACAACAACAAAAAAACTTTTATTCAGCAAGATTTTTCAAATAAATAAACTTTTTATTAATCAAATGAAAATGTATGATGTTGTCCACAAAAAATATGAAGCAGCACAAAATAGCATTAAATCAGTATATTAGAATGATTTCTGCAGGAGACACTGAAGACTGGTGTTGATGCTGAAAATTCAACTTTGCATCACATGAATGAATTACATTTTAAAATATATTATAATAGAAATCAGTTATTTTAAATTGCAATAATATTTCACATTATTACTGTTTTTACTGTATTTTTGATCAAATAAATGCAGCCTTGGAGAGCATAAGAGACTTATATATTAAAAAAATATATATTTTAACAGCAGTATACTATATCATAAAATATTCATCATGATATTTATGTATTTGCTCTGAAATGATTCGAATGAAGGGTGTTTTTTTTATTTTATTTAATCAACCATCATTTCTACAAAACAGCCATTGTTACCAAATAGATTCAACATGTTAAATGCAGGAAGTTTCAACAATTAAAGCATGACTGCACATTTCCCACCCTGTTATGTTTTGTAATTTGTAAACTCTTCTCAGAGGTCTTTGTTTTTATGATACGGGCCAGCGTTTCAAGAGTCTAAAGGTCAGAATGAGCATATGCATAATCTGCATGAATAAACTTAAACAGAGGCTTGAGACTGAGATGAACTCTGCTGTAAATCATAACACACAGCTCATTTACATATAGACGTATTAAATATACAGTAGCGAAAACGTTAATTAGCATTATTAAAATTGTGTTTATTTCTAAGGGTACAGAATAAACATGAAAAACAACATGTAAGAAATCTAGATAAGCCTTATAAGTGAACTTCAGCAAGGAAAAAGGAATCTAAAATGCCCTTTAATAAATGCAACTTTACTTTGTCTTTCTTGGCAGCATGCTGAGTCTCATAAGAGAAGTTTTTTGAACTAGGCTCTGGCTCTCTGATGTGGTTGGTGTTGTGGCGCTGCAGGATCTGTAGCCGCTGGCCTGTGCTGCTGAGACGTCTGTCTGAATTAGTTTTAGTGTGTGTCTGAATGGTCTGGCATAATTAAATGTAGGAATCTGCTCACCTCATTAGAAGGGTGTGGGTCCACGTTCAACAAAAAAGCATATCTGTTACATAATCTGGCCCACTTCCTGTCCTGCTATGACTTTCCTCATTAGGCGAGCTGTGCACAACCAATTCAGCGACCATGTACTTCCTGTTTTGCATTGTAGCTGCTAATCTTACATTGTTCAGAAGGTTAAAAATAGTGCTGTCAAACGATTATATAAAGATGTTATATATATATATATATATATATATATATATATATTTAATATATAAACATAGCATATTTTTCTGAAATATATACATGCATGTCTGTGTATTTATATATACATAATAAATATACACACAGTACACATACACATATATTATGTAAACAAAAACTTAATTAACTTAATTTGGATGCTATTAATCGAGATTAATTTTTTGTAGTTAAAATTATTATTTTTTTTAAATAAAAATTGTGTGTGTTTTTCATAAGACAATTGTATAACTTGTATAATGGTTTAGAATTTGAAATAATATTTGTGAATTATACAGCTACTAGCTACTGAATAATTTACTGTAAAATGAATAACTCCATACAGGATCCATATTCAGACGTAAATTCTTAAACTTAACTTATCTTCTTGCTTTTTATACAAAAGTACCCCAGGAAAGGACTTTATTTTACTTTTTATTTATTTATTTATTACGGTCTAATTATTTTATTTTGTTTAATTGTAATTGTTTATTTTTTGAGTGATTGCAGTGTATTTGTTTTGTTTCATATTTAGATATAAAATTCTTAAACCCAACTTATCATCTTGCCTTTTATATAAAAGTACCACAGGATGTTACTTTATTTTACTTTTTATTTATATTATTATTTTTATTACTATTAATTTATTTTATTTTGTTTAATTTATATATAATTTTTTTGGGGGTGATTGCAATGTATTTATTATGTTTAATTCATATGACCTCTGATATAATTTGCAATAATATCTAAATTAAACAGCTACTGTATGACCCATATTCAGGCACAAATTCATAAACATGACACATCTTCCTGCCATTTAATACAATACTAATTTATTATTTTTTTATTATCTATTTATATTTTATTGTTTTTTTTTATTTTTATTATTACGGTTTTATTTTCAATATAATTTATACAGCTGCTGTATGACCCATATTCAGGCACAAATTCATAAACATAACGTGTCTTCCTGCCATTTATTCAAAAGTAGTACAGGATAATGTATATTTCTTTTTTTTAATTTAATTTTTTATTATTATTTAATTTGTCATTGTTCAGGTAAATGACTGTATTTATGTTTTATATGACCTCTGATATAATTATACACCTACTAGCCTATATGACCCATATTCAGGCATACATTATACTGTCTTCTCATCATTTAGACAGAAGGAGAAAATACTACTTATTTATTTATTTTAATATTTTATTGCTATTTATTTATTTCTTTTACTTTATTTTTCTGTTGACTGGAATGTATGTTTTGTTTCATATGACCTTAGGCGCAAATTCATGAACATGACATGTCTTCCTGCCATTTATGCAAAAGTAGGACAGAATTTTTATTTTATTACTACCTATTGATTGTAGGCTATTATTTTTTAAATTTTGCTTTTTTAATTTTATTTTCTGTGTGACTGGAATGTATGTTACATTTCTTATGACCTCTGAATGCACGCGAGTATCTGAAGGGTACAGGCCACTGTGGCACACTACAAATGAGCTGTTGATGTATTATCTAAAAACCGCACAGATGCTCATTACGTGTCCCTTTCTCCCGTGTTCACAGATGATCCAGACCAGCCAAACGCTGCTGGAGAACTCAGACAGCGTGTACGAGCGAATACTGCAAGTCCAGAAAGCAGGTAAGAATGAAAAAGCGTACGAGAGAACGAAAGCAAAGACAAGGCGAGCGAGAGAAAGAGAAAGACACAGTGTTCCACAAGGGACGGGTGTTTCTTGGAACACAGCCGATCGACGCGGCCCTTCGATCGCAGCTCCCTCTGAAATAGAAAGAAAACACAAGTGCGTTCATACTAAAAAAGCTCAAAGAGAAAGAACTAATTATGCCACGCTGTGTTATATAAGGCTCATTGTGAGTTTCTCTTCACCTGTGTGATGTCCTGCATTTCAAACACCGTTCAAGTAGGGTTTTTTTGACTCTCAATAGTGTCATTCGCTCTGTGTTCTCTAATTGACGGGGACTTAAAGGGTAAACATCTATGGCCTATCAAAGCCATGCAATCAATGTGACGCCAACAGCTGCACGATGCAATCGCCGAAGATCGGCCTCAGTTGCATTCACTCCGAAATGAAAGAGAAAAGCCGAATGCAGAAGAAAGGCAGCATTTGTGTAATTTTAAGGTGCATCTGTGGCCTTTTGAAATTGCATTGATTTTTTTTTTGAAGTGCAAAATGTAGCTTCACTTCTGATCTCACAAATCAAATAAGACAGAGGAATCAAAATTTAATCTACAAAAAAAATTTAATATAGCCAGGCAAATGATGCTATTTCAAGTTTTGCTTTTTTTATTAGTGAAAAAAGATATGTGCATCATTCCTGCTGTGATTCACATTTCCTCATTTCCCTGTTGCTTTTTCTCTGATTACGTCCTATTGCATTCATAAAACCTTGTGATGCAGAGTGGAAACATTGATAATCATTTAGTTGTGTTGCTGGGAGACAGTGATGGGCAGGTGATCGATGCGGGAGGCTGGCAGTGTGTTTCATTGATCGCAGCTGATGGAATCTTGGCACAGGAAGCTGTTAAGAGTTCATTAGATGTTCTCTCGATGAACAATTATCAGCCGCACCTAAATGCACACACTACCGTTTTGTTTTGTCAAGCCAACACTAAATCAATAAGCTTCAATACCGCATGTGTCATTTTATGTCCTGTTTGGCTTTTATAATGGCCAAATAAATCTTGATGCACAGCGGTTATTAATGCTTATTAAAGGGGTCATATGATGTTGCTAAAAAGAATATTATTTTGTGTATTTGGTGTAATGAAATGTGTTTATGCGGTTTAAGGTTCAAAAAACACATTATTTTCCACATGCTGTACATTATTGTTTCTCCTCTATGCCCCGTCTTTCTGAAACGCGTCGATTTTTACAGCAAGTTACACGATTACTGTTGCTCATACTTAGGAGTTTAATAAAATCCTTAAAGGGGTAATTCATCCAAAAAGTGAAAATTTACTGTTAATTTAATCATCAAAAATGTAGGTGTTTTTTTTTTCTGAGCATAACAGTAAAGAAGAAACTGTGGTCCTTTGTGATTCATAAAATGCAAGCCAGCGGCTTGATCCTATGATGAATGAATCATTCAGCGCTCCAGTTCTTCCAATAGTCACTGAAATATATAGTTCAGTCATGAAACTCTAGATGGCGCATTCTGACGGGGTGTTAACGTAACTGCTGATATTCAGAGAGTTAAATACATTAACATTGTCATATCCATCACCATGCTAAAATATTTTGAGAGTTGTCATGATTGAACTGAGGAAACAGTTTAGACTCGGACCGAAGACTGATGAACCGGTGATATGGTCATACATGAACCGAACACGTTTTTATGGTTTCTCATGGTTTATGTAAAAAGGGGATCCGATGAAAACCAGTTTATTCATATGCTTTAGATGTGTAAACATCCACGTTTCACATCATTATTGGGTGCTTTAATAATTTGCATATAGGTTGCGTATATTGTGTGATAAACAAACTAGTGAATTGAACCAGTTCACTGAAACGAACTGTCCAAAAGAACCATTTCACAGAAAAGAATCGGATTTCTCCTTTTGCTTGAGGCTCTGGATTATTAAGTTGTAAATTATGTTCAGTTTCTTGCACAGACCAGTTGTTTTGCTTCAATATATCATCAGGAGCCACAGGTATTCATTTTGTGTTCCTTGATATGTTTTTTTTTTATTCTAAAAAAACATACCGCTGCTGACATTTTATGAATCACCAAAGACCAGGGTTTCAGCTAAAAATCTTCTTTACTGTTCTAATGAAGAAAAAAAGTCACCTAAATCTTGGATGACCTGAGGGGGAGTAATATAAGAACAAATGTTCCTTTTTGGGTGAACTATCCCTTTAACCCTAAATAGCAAATGTTAATTCACAAATTGGTTCCTAAAATCATACTGCTTTTATCAAGGAAAGGTTACTTTTCTAAGTGCTCAGACTTACATCCTAGCAACTGCTGAGTTATAGCTTTAGAATGAGCTATCTTTACATTTTCTGAAGAAAGCATGAGTGTTGCTTGCCTTTGCAATACTCCCCATGATGCTGTGAGTGTGGGTGGTTGCCAAGACATGGCTATATGCTTGCTAAGGTGTTCTGAGATGTGGTTAACATGTAAAGAGCAGCATTAGATTAACTTAGAACAACCTAGCAACCACTATGAACATGCTGCGTAAAAATGCACTAGGAACACCTTAGCAACCGTTCACCCCACTCTTGCTTTCTTCAGAAAATGTGAAGATGTGGTTCATCATCAATCTATCACTCAGCCGCTTCCATCTTTGATTTCTTCTGCTTAACAGTCATTTTCCACCACTTTTAATGCAGTTTAATATCCTTCGCCAGAAGTGAGACAAACCACAAAGCTTGTATTGATTTCCAGAGTCTGTGGCCACATCAAATATTCATCCTCTTTTGTCCCAGCACGAGCACACAGAGAACGGCTTTGTCTGATCTGCAGTAAACACTGTAAATCAATCTCTGAGGTTTCTTGCCTCTCTTAAGAAGCCCATCTCCGCCTGGTGCACTTCAGAGTCCCGCATGAACACATTAGTTAATGTGGATGAACGGCCCACCGGCAGCAGCTTTACTTCTCTTGAGGTGTGGCAGAGATGGACTGATGGAGCTGTACGAGGAGCTCGAGCTGCTAACGATGAATAGGAAAAGTGGGTCAATGCTTGCCCATTCCCATGTGGAATCCAGTGGAAAACTCCGGCATCGACAGCCCTGAATAATCAAAACTGGCCACTGCAAAAGTCCGAGCAGGTATTGATCTACAGGCAGAGTAAATAACATGCTGCCTTTTGAGTAAAGCAGTGCTGGCCAGTGCTCCAAGCATCTAAGAGACCTGTAGAGGATATACTTTTGCTGTAAATATTTGAAAATCTATGCACTAACAATCAACCTGATGCCAGCGGGAGTTGGTTGCTTGTAAGGAGGCTGCACTTATGTGCTTTGGATTTGATATACTAGTAAAGTGGATGCATGGCTTGCATGCAGACCAAGATAAAACGAGTATTATCTAATAAAACTAACATAAACTAATAAAATCCCCTGAGCAGTGTTGTTAAGTAAAACTAATATTATTAAAATATTTTTCTGTAATTAAAATAAAGATTAAACAAATAATAGATTAAAAACTTGAATTAAACATAAAAACATACATGTTGCCTTGACAGCTAACTGAAATAAAGAAAATTAATCTGTAAAGAAATATTTTTTAAAAAATAAACAAAAACTAATGACAATGACAGAATCACAGGACAAAAATTAAAATTAAAACTAAAAATATAAAAATAAAATCTAATTCTAAGCTAATATATACTATAGAAATAACACTGCATCTACTGTAAGCCATGGATGCATACAAAAAAATGAATAAATAAAAATCTATGGTCATAGATGGATACAAGTCAGTTTTCATGCTGTAAAGAGCCCTCCATATTTTATATATATTTTCCGTTTTTTTTACATTTTCAAAAATCATGTTTTTTACTACGTTATTATTAGAGGTCGACCGATGTATCTGTTTTGCCGATTAATCGGCACCGATAGTTTTTTGCTGGAACTATCGTTCGTATATAAATTTTAATGCTATGGCCTTTGTGTATATATTTAAAGATATTTAAAGATGTGCATCTTTAAGCATGACTGTTGAAATGAAATGGTAACACTTTAAATTGAACGCGATGCGTCCGGAGTGTGTGTGATACCTAGTGTGTGTGAGTTCTCCTAGATATAATCATCAAGTGTTCAAGAATAGAAGAAGTTAAAGTGTGAGAGTATACATACAATATCCATATGT